TTAGGTCTGAGGAAGTCCAAGATATTTTAAACATTTTAGACAGAATCAAATTTTGTAGAATATTTATTTTTATTCAATAGTTCAAAATGTACTTGTTTATTTGATGTATTTTTTATGTAAGAATGCAAAGCAACTAGTTGTATAATAACTAATAATAAGATGCCCATCTTATCATTTAAGGGTTAAACTGATAGAAATTATAAATTATATGAATAATTGGTATTTACTGAACTGTCAGTAAAATTTGTTTGTTTATGATTAATGATTAGACTATATTTAATACTTAGTAGTATAAACTTAGGAAATTAATATATTCCGTCGCGTTACGCACATCTCTACTCTGCGTGTACATACATGAGGAGTCTCACTACTCGGTCTAACCACTAGCGGTTGAATCTCCTTAGCATAACAAGGAACTGCAATTATTGGGTAATGGACTACACGATTCTTATGCAGATTCGTTCGCAGATAATACGATTTGACAAGGGGGGTGTTGTCGTGATGCAGAAACCAAGTGTTGAAACTGCCTAAATTATGAGTCAAAATTTGATGAACAATCCTCGGAATTTGATATGAGCAGTCTTCAAAATTTGACGAATAATCTGTAAAATTTAATGAAAAATCCTAAAAATTTGATGAACAATCCTCAAGATTTGATGAATAAACTCTAAAATTTAATGAAAAATCCTAAAAATTTGATAAACAATCCTCAAAATTTGATGAATAATTTTTAAAATTTATTGAAAAATCCTAAAAATTTGATGAACAATTCCCAAAATTTGATAAACAATTCCAAACATTTGACGAACTATCCGCAAAATTTGATGAACGATCCTCAAAATGTAATAAACAATCCTCAAAATTTAACGAACAATCCTCAAAATATAATAAACAATCCTCAAAATTTAACGAACAATCCTCAAAATTTAATGAATAATCCTCAATCCTGAAAGACATATTTATTTCGTCTCGTATCAGTCTTACTGTTAATTATCGATCAAACTGAACTGAGGTCTCTACCTTTTCCACATTTTCATCTGTTACTAGTATAACAAGCTTTCCAGAACGTAGTTCATCGTCAATGGTTTCTTGACCCTCCAAAAAAGCTTTGTGCCATGGAAAAACTTGTGCAAGGGACAATGTTTGCCCTCCATAAGCCTTCTTCAACTTTATATAAGTTTCAGAAGCATTTTCACCAAGTTTCATACAATATTCAATAGCATACGATATTTTTCTGTTCCATTTTCGTGATACGCTCACCAAACATGCTATCAATCATTCGATAGTCACTCTGCACCATGTAAACTGATTAAGTTATATGTATATAATCACAATAAGGTTCAGAGTTCGTAGTGGTTCCATATGTTTCCTGTTAGGGTTTCCCACATGAGTTATATTTACAGTGGAAACTCCCGTATCTGAACTAATAGAGAGACATACAGTCGCCTCGAAAAATAAATCAGCGACCAACATAATTTAACACTTTACTGACTGGTAGTCCATTAACAGACTTTTAAATTTTAGTGCTTATAGATAAGATGCCTAATTAATTTATCTCTAGATCAGGGTTAATTAAAAAATTGGTTCGTTATTCTATTAGAATTTTTGGCATTTTTCATTAATTTATTACTGTGATTGAAGTGTTTATTGTAGTTCTCTGTCTGTTGATCGTAAGATCTACTAGACCTATTAAATAGCAGCCGGTAGGGAATGTATTTAATATAATAATTGCCCAAAGTGTTGCTAAAATGAACGTTGAGCACACCAGTGAATTTTCAATAAATGACAAACGAAACACAAGAACGTCTTATCTTAATCTGAAATTCATCAGTTTTCCCAAGTTCAATCAGTTTAGAGTATCGTTAATTTCCGAGACGACTGTAAGTGTTCGCATGAAGGAATTTTGAGAGAGTAAAACAATCATATTTCCGGTACAACACTTCACTTATTTAAATATAAATCGAGAAAATTGACAGTTTAAATATTTATGAATCCCATATCTTTTTGACTGCTGAATCACGTTCGTTTTTCTACATAAGTAATTCGGTAGAGTTCAATCGAACAGAAAAAGGTGTACATCGTATCTAAGCGCTGCATAGTTGCCAATAGAGAAGGCATATGTTGCTAGGAAAGACTCTGTTCGAGTAACAGAAAGTACGGATAGTAGAATCTTCGAATAGTAGAACGTTCCGATGGTAGACCGTTCGGATAATACGAACTTCCAATTGTAAAGTTTCGGACGGTAAAACGGTCGAATAGTAGAATTTACGGATGGTAGACTGTTCGAATAGTAAAACTTTTGAATAGTATAACCTTTGAATAGTATATCCTTTGATTAGTATAACCTTTGAATAGTATATCCTTTGATTAGTATAACTTTCAAATAATATAACCTTCGAATAGTATAACATTCGAACGGTTGAATCTTCGGTTAGAAAAACTAGTAGAACGGTCGTATAGTAGAATCTTCGAATAGTATAACCTTCGAATAGTGTAACTTTCGAATAGTATAACTTTCGAACGGTTGAACCTTCGGTTAGAAAAACTAGTAGAACGGTCGTATAGTAGAATCTTCGAATAGTAAGATTTGGGATAGTAGAGAAACTTAAAGTAGTTGGAACGTTCGGATAGTAGAACGTCCAGATATTAGAAACTTGGAATAGTAGAACGTTCAAATACTAGATCTTTTGGATAGTAAATACAACTTTGGATAATAAAACCTTCGAATAGTGGACCGTTTGGATACAAGGACCTTCAGATAATAGAACGTTCGTATAGTAGGATTTTCGTACACCAGAATCATTGGATAACAGAACGTTCGGATAGTAGGATTGTCGTACAACAAGATTCTTTGGATAGCAGAACGTTCGAAAAGTAGAAAGTTTGAATATCTCAATATTAAAATAACGAGTGTTCGGATCCATTAGGTCGCACCCAAATCGAAGATCTCATAACTCTCGTAACCGAGCACGTACACCATCCCCGCGTACAGACCATAAAACCATAAGCAACCGAGGCTGTCTAAAAAGCTCCTAGCGAACTTTTTCCAGCAGCAATTACCATCCCCCGCGGCCGTCAGCATTTTCCACCCGCCACTTTCCCGCCAAGAAATCACGCATATCGTCCGCAGGGAGGCCGGGGGTCGTCGGCGTAAGTAACTACGTACTACGCGTAGCAGCTGGTCACGTCGATGCGCGCGTAGAGTGTGTAGAGATACCTAGAGCTGCGCGCTAGATGGGACGAAGGAGGTAGAAAACCAGGGGAAAGCCGGAGAAACGGTTAAGGTAGAGAGTAGAGCAGCAACCGTTGGGTGGGTGGATGGGAAGGATGGAGGACACAGCGTTGGGTTAGGTAAAGGCGGCGGTGGTGGAAGCCAGCGCGAAGCAGACACTGAGAGACGTCGAACGTGCTGGCGGCAGGGGAGGGGCGTGAGAGGGAGAGGGAGGGGGGTGTGTGTGGTGGTGGGAGCGCGAGTGGCAGCGTAGCGGCTCGTTTAGCACGCAGGATCAGCTCGGGGGAGAGAGCCTCGGTTCGTCGCTTTTACCTCTCGCTAGGCTAGTAGCTCCGCCGCATTCGTACGTGATACGGAAAGGCACCACGCGCCACCGAAGAGTTGTGCGTGGAGGCTCGTGTGTATAAGAGATCGCTTGAAAATATCGTCTTGGGGTGTGTTCGTCTTCTTCGTACAATTTTTCCCTAGATTCTCCCCTGAATCCCCTCATCTTGACCCTTGGTATCCTCTCCGTACAAATCCTACCACCTTCCTCCCCCTTCTCTCTCTCTTTCTTTCGATCGAATCTCTCTCGGCACGACGTTCCTCGTTCGTGATCGATCTCCGCGTGGAGAGAAGCACGCTTTACCCGACCGGAAAAGGGGGGAAGGAAAAGGGCCACGCGTGGGAAAAAAAGGGGGGGATTAGAGGCTGGCCGCGTGCTGTGCGTCCTCCTCGATCTAGTCGCGTTCTCGAGTACGCAAACTCGTTGACTGAGGTGACACCGGGAGAACGCGTTTTAGGAGCTTCTGGGGCACGTCGTGTGTTAACGTGTACCTGTTTAATCGTGAGAGAAAGAGAGAGGGGTATTGTGGGCGGACTGTCGATGAGAGAAAGAGCTTGCGGGTAGAGTGGTGGTGTCTAAGCCGCGGTGTAACACGGTGTTTAGCCAGCTTGAGGAACATCGACACGGTACCGCATATCCCGCTTTGGGCGTTTGAACGCGCGACCGCTAATTGGCGTCGGGGACACATCAGTTCCCCCCGGGGACGACGGAGAACCGAGGTATCCTTTACGGAGGGAAGAGGAGACGAAGGGGCAAGCCTCCCATTGGCGAAACAGAGACAAAAGAAGTGTCCTGGAGCTTCTGGCTTGAACAGACACTTAGCTACCCCGGAGTTTCCAGGCAAGTCGAAGTGAAGGGGAGTGCTCTTTCTGTGGCCGGGTGTAATCGTGTTGAAAATTTTGGACTAGAGCTTTTTCTCTCTATCTTCCCTCCTTATCCAGGGGATTCTCGTGATTATTTGGATGGAGATTAGGGACCGTGCAGAAAAGTGACCGGCAGCTTCTGACCGATGCGTATTCTTCCAAGCTCTGTTTCTTGTTCTCCTGATCACCTCGATCGGTCCACACACGTGTTATTCCCATCCTGTGAACCACACTTCCCGGAACGTACCGTGAATATCGTAATCTCCCGTTTCTTGTTCGACGTTCGCAGGACCAAGTGTTGGGTTGCTGGTTTTATGTCGACTGGGGATCCCCTAGGCGCGGAATAATGCGTGCACGGGAAGGATAGCGGGACACGGATATAGGGTGAGGAATAGAGTGGAGTTGAAGTGTGCCGTTTTGTTGAAAGGATAGTATTAATCGGTGCGGTGTGAAAGAGAAAGGTTGGTGTCCGTTTGAAGACGGTCGAGAATTTTTTCTTTCACGTGTTTCGGACACTTGCTCGTTGGACACCTTTCGTCTCTGCTGTTTCATCGTGATCGATTCGTCGACGTCCAGAAGGTGTGCGACTTACGGAAAAGGATCAGCAATCGGTACTGGAGCTGCGTCGTTATCGGACACCTCGACGCATCGTAGGATCCCTGTCTACGTTCAATCCGTCGGGTAAGATGATGATTCAGTGCACCGCGACGCGTTTCGTGTCCCCCAATGCGGAACCACTGGCCGGATAACGCGAATTAAATTGAAGGCGACTGTTATGCAAAAAATTGTATGCTGCTTCGACATCTGGTGTACGATGTGACGTATTATTGTCGCGAATTGCTGGGGAATAGTTGTTTTGCGATTACTGGACTGTAAAGTTGTACATCTTCGGGGGAATAAATTAAAGTTAGGGGATTTAGGTATACCAATTTAGGGAAAATTGGTCAATTCTGGAACTCATATGGGAACTTTAGGAACACAGAATTTCTCATTTTTTTGAAACCTTGCAGGTTTGTAGGGCAGTTGAATAGATGTATCAGGCAATTTTTGTTCCTCGGGGTGGAAACACCCCTTAAAGCTTAGTGTATGATTACTATTTTCCTGTATATCTCGAAGACTATAATAGATGTAAACAAATTGTTACAATGAAAATTTAATGGATTTTTATGCTTTATAGAACTGTGTAGTGAAATTGTTAAAAATTTGTTCATTTGCTGATCTATTTATTTATGAAACGAATTTTTATAATTTTATTGCGAAGTATTATATGATATCAATAATCATTGAAAACTGCGTGTGAATGTCTGTACTATGTGTGAGTTTTTGGGTGATTGAAATCTTGAGCCTGGTCTAATTGGAATTTAGGTGGAAACGAGATGGTTAAGTGTTCTGTTTATACATTCTAGTAGTTGGGATGAACTGATGATTTTAGGCGTATATGACGAAACCTTTTCTGGGAATGAAAGAAGAATGTTAAGGTGAATTTACACTTTGCATGTGCATAGTAAATGATTCATCCATAATCCGTTTAATTCATTAAAAGTAAAGATTGGCTCGTCTTTGTTCACTGGTCACTTTGTATGAAAACAATTTTTACACCTTTCACGTATGTCTAAATTCGCTTTTAGGTAAGGATCGAACGGAAAGGGATGCATGCGGTTGTGTTTCTGCGTGGACGGAGGGGATGAATGGGTAAAAACCGTGAGTTATCGAGGGAAAAAAAGGACAGTTAGAGATCAGAGGTCGAACAGAGTTTTAACAGAGTGTGTATAGAGTGAATGTAGAGTGAATATGGAGTTAACAGAGCAAGAGAAGTACAGAGGACAGAATTCCAAATCAGACATTTATGGAGAGAATCAAAGTAGGGGAAAGGTGTCTAAAACGATCCCTTTAAGGCGTAATTTATATAAAAAATACAAATGCTCATTATTTAAATAAAAGTAAAGTAGTTTTTCTAAGTTAATCTATCAATCTTATCATTGGCTTAAATAAAATTTAGCTACGTGATCAATTATATTTTTTATTCGCATTTCTTTGAAGGCATATTTAAGGATCATTTTGTAATGTATGTGTATAAAATGATCCCTGGGGATCCTTTTATACCTACTGATAGTAAATACGACGAACATTAAAAAGCATTTCAGTTATTACATTTTATTTAAATAAAAACAGCTTTGACGTGTTGTTTTTCTTTCATACTGACGGGGTATTGTTGTAACTAAACAATAAGACAATAATATAGCATATGGGTGAAATGATTAAATGATCATATGACTCCAAACACCCAACTCACATTCAGTGGTTGAATATAACATCAACTTATTACATGCGGTAACGAAACATTAATTAACGTATTATTGAATTGTGGTTAAATTCGCGCATGAAGCAGCTGTCGAATTAAACCGTTTATGACAAAAGTTACACAACATTGAAAAAGACTCTATCTTAGATAAATTGCAGCAATTTTAAATTTTTCTTGTGGATAACACACAGAGCACTGATATTCACATAGCACTTCGAGCAACGACTAGTGACGCGTGGGGGGAACTATTGTAGAACGATATTACGATATAACACCACTAATAACCATAGGGCAGCCAGGAATCATTTTACCCCGAGGGATCGTTTAGATTATCGTTTAATCGTATTTTATCGTATTAATCGTTTTAGACACCTTTCCCCTACCTATTTAATCATTTATGTCCTGACGATACTTTGTTGTTATATTACAATAAAATGCTGTCATTGAACCTGGTTAAGAATCCTAACTCTTATGTATTTACTACTTTTCGGAAGTCCTCTGAGATGCTATAAAATGGTGTCAGCACTCGAAGACATCAAATTTAGTTATTTGAATGACGAAACTGAAAAAACGATAATGCAATTCAGGCCTTAAACGGTTAAATATACAGGGTGTCACATGTTACACTCGAATATCTCCGAAACTGTTGACGATATATTAAAAAATGTTTCAGACAAAAGATAAATGGTATCATGGGGCACACTTTCTAATGTATCTTTTTTCTATTTTGACCTGTAGAGGTCATATGAAGATCAACTTTGTTTTTTTTTTAAACGGAATCGTATATTTTTTAATGCACTAATTTGCCATAAGTGGCTTCATACTTTATGTGGGGAATAACGAGTAGCGATAAGTGATGCATTAAAAAATATACGATTCCATTTTACAAAAAGAAAGTTCACCTTCATATGACCTCTACGCGTCCATATAGAAAAAAGTTACGTCAGAAAGTGTGCCCCCTGGAATGATTTAACTATTTTCAGATATATTTTTTCCGAGATATTCGAATGGGTCGATTTAAATGGGACACCCTGTATATTCATTGTTTCTGTTTACGTGACATGTGTTCATCTGTTCATCGTATTGCTACCTTGCGCAAATCCAAAATCGTAGAGGAAAATATTAAGCTTCGTTCGTTTTTTTGTTTTCAACAATGTCACGTTTTAAAAATGTTTCAGAATTAACACTAGAACAACCGGCGATTGACGTATACCTACTTCTACCGGAGGGGTCAAAATGACTTGTTTTTTCAAATTAATAAGTCATTTAAGAAAAGACATAGCAATTTTTACGTTTTTATATATTTCCCTATTTTATGAGTGAAAATTGAATATAAACTGAATAATGATAATAATATAATAATAATAATTTTCAAAATAATTACGCTTAAAGGTCAAAGACATTTTTTACAAGTTACAATTGTTTTAACAGAGCATGTACCACAGACTCGTTTATGACATGTACCACAAATATTCTTCGTTTTATTATTAGTACAATATGCTATTTGACACTTTCTACGTTTCATCGAAATATGCGTCTGATTTTGTAATGGTGTACATGAAGATATTTCTTTTTTTTTAAATTAAGCAAACATAACACATGTCTCTTATGGTAATTTTGCACGATGTAGATGTGCGAAAATATACTTGGTTTTCGAAAAATTTATTTGAACTATACAAAAATAATATGAGGAACTTAAAAAATCACAAGTTTACCTACCTTCCGTGGGGGTCAAAATGGCTCATCTTGGTATATGGAGGTATACTGCATAAAATTTTACATCAAAAAGACAAAAACAAAAGAAAACTGTTTTACAGAATTAGTTATTTGCATGTTTTAGAAAAAGATATACAAAATTTTAGTAAACAAAATCTACTGAAAATGAATAATGATTATAAGAAATGTCAAACAAGTCATTTTGACCCCCCTTGGTAGATCTAGTGTTAAAGGTGGATCTGCAAAGCAGAATTGCTTGTATCAATAGCCTTGTTTTCATAGAAAAATATACGACAACTAAAGCAATTCATTGTTTCCTTTAACAAGACGCCTCGATGGGTTAGATATTCGAATGTGTTCTATATTCGATGGCGATATCGCAAAATTTGAAGCGTCTGCATAATTCATGACGGAACCGCTATTTTCCTCTCGTCCATCATTTCAGATTCCTTTACCATCCTTGTTCTGATCTCCTCTCTCCCCGTCCCCTACCCTTGCCACTCCTCTGGGCTAGAAATTTCCTTCGAAGTGAACGTAATAGGAAAAGAAGTGGCCTTTTCTTTTCTCTCGATGTAATTGTACATTTTCATCTCGTCGATTATTACATTTTCCATTCGGAATGATAATCGAAGTAAGTGCAACCAGGTCGAACAGGTAAATTTAATAATTTTACGTGAATTTTCGAGACGCACTAGAAAATTACCGTACAAAATGTATTCTATTGGAATCGATTGGTAGCCTGAATTCCTTGATGCGATAAGATAAGTATACTTCAAAAGAAGATTACCCGAATGAATTGCTCGATATTGAATTGTTCTTCTTTTTATAGACACGTCGAGTTGGCGTCCAATGTAAATGAACGTTACAGCTTTATCTTCTTCGATCCCTTCGACAAAATGTCAGATTCTTTAAGGTTTGAACTTCTGATAAGTATGAAATGAGAAACAATGATATTCATTGTATTAATACGTACGACCTTTATTTTTAAGCTTAACCCTTTGGGGCCTGAATTAAGTTAACATTATTTTTTATCACAATTTTTATTCCAGATATTTAAAAACTGTTGAAATATGTTTTTTTTTGTTGTATTTTCTGTTTATTCGAGTACCTAAATGTTGGTGTATCTGACAAGGGCAGGACCCCACCTGTACCACTTCGATTTTATCGATCTTTTGTAGGATGATAGAATTAGAGATAGCGCGAACTGCTACTTGTGAATCTCGAGTGATTCGATCACGTTCGTTCCTAATCAGTGATTTTTCACAGTGATTCGCAATTTTTCGTGATCCTTTCTGACTGGTGGAGAAACATAACAGTTGTTTAGGCGCGACACATAACCTGTACATTTTATATTAACGACATCGAAACAAAAATTCGAGTTATATCGTATAAAGTGAAGGAATAATTAGAAACAATGAAGAATATTGAATAGACTGCGGATTTTATGAATTTACAGCTTATAGGGCTCTGTGAAATCCAATAAAAAACAACACTTTCCTCGGATCCAATGAGTTTTCGATTTTAGTCTGAACCCAATAAGATACTTAAAAGGAAAAATAAATTTCTACATTTGCTCCTGTCTTTATAAATTAGTTTGGAAAATGTTATTTTTCATAAAAATCTGCAGTCTAATAATGAATAAATTAATGATTATAAATTATAA